TTAACGGACTGCTGCGCGTACTACATCCAACATCAAGCAGAGCGACCCCACAATAATTAGTAGCGTGGAGACCACCTGCCTTTGATTTATGGTGAAAGGGCTGGATAAATGCATGACCATTTAAATTGTGCTGCCCCCAGCGGCCAATATTCTCAGCGCTCAACTGGCATCCAGCATGCTGCACCACACCGACTGCTTGCAGGACAGCATGCTGCATCCAGCTGCAGTACAGCATTTTCCATGCTGTATTGCAGGATTGCAGTCCAGCAACGGAGCATGCTGGATTGAGTCTTTCGTCCAGCATGCTGTTGCAGCATCCGGCAGCTGTCCAGCACGAGTATGAACTCGGCCTTACATAACGGAAGGAAAGGCGGAAAACCAAAAGGAATTTCGTTTACAGAACGACAGGCAAGTGGCCTCGTTTTTCGATATCCAGTCGGGGAACCTCAGCACCCTCTCCTAGATAGGAAAGACTAGTCTGCCTGGCGTTCGGTATGTAAGTGAAGCCCGTTTTGGTTATCCGACTCTCTCCCCCCCTCTCATGTAACCCACACTTATTTCTCGTGTTTCCAATCGTGAGGTTTTCGAGTACATATTATATTTTTGGTTTCATTTCTGTAAATATAGTCTCCCATGTTTCCATGTCTCGGATCTTCCGACAGTCGTCGGAAGATCCGAGGACTTCACTGGTTCTCCAACCCTTCAAGGAAGGTGATCAAGTCGAGACGGGACACATTCGTGGTTGAGACTTTATCTTTGGTTTCTCAGACTCAGGTCGGTTGCTGCAGTGATGATAGTACTTGACCTTCACCAGGCAGCCACGTTCACGCAACTGAGATCGGGGGGGGGGGGAGTAGCGGAGTAGCGCATGTCTCATCCACTTCCCACTCTCCGCCTCTGTATAACCCAAGGTCCTCCGAAAGGGAGGGGGGGGGGGCATTTCTTCGCACACCTCGTAGGTGTACGAAGAAATACGAAATAATTATTTATACGATTTGTTATTTATAAATTACTTAACTTTATTATTTATATATATTATTATTATTACGATTATTTATAAAACGAAATAATTTTTTTGGAAAGGTCCACCCCGAAATGTGCCCCCAGGCAACGCATCCCAAAAGCAATTTTTTTTTTGGTAGGAATCTGCTTCTCAGTAAGTGCCGATGCTCCAAGTTTCAGTTTCTATGTCTCTCCGTTTTGTTAGCACATAAAAATTATGAAGGTTCGCCTCAAAAAAAAATTTTTTTCTTGAAATCCGCATAATCAGAGCTTTTCGAGCACGAAGATTGAATTTTCTATCTTATCTAGAACATAATGAAAGTCAGTCCCGCTCACTCACACAATCACAATCTTTTTATGCTGGAATATTGAGAAAAGGTCCAATACTTTGAGAGCGGGTTATCATTCCTTTGCATCACAATCAAGTGCCTTAAGCCTCATTGAGGCTTTAAAACGGGGATGTCTGAACTTAACTTCTACATTTAAGTTCGAACATCATATTATAGGCAATATCAGAAGTCATAATGCTAGGAAGGACAACACCTTTGTAGCACTTATACCCTCTCGTGTCGTGCTCCCAGGAACAAAAAAATTAGGCTTCCAGCTAGTACCGTTGGGATAGAACGAGCGTATAATGAAGCTCAGTCAGTTTAACTGTCCGAACATTGGTAGTTTCATCCTATGATATAACGAAATAAATCCGTTGGCATTATCGACTTCGTTTTAGTGAGAGCTGAAGGTACTTTCTGCATTTCCAGGCTCCTTGAAGAGCTAGCAATCCAGTTCACAGTTTGCAAACAAAACAATATGTGGGAAGTAAAAACTTTATTGGCTTGTCAGAATTCTGAAGCTAGGTGCACATTGCTGTGTGGTATAGACTCCTTTGTCTCTACATAGAGCTGCACTGGGAATCAACTGCCATCAAGCCATCAAGTACCAGAGATCCTTTGAAATATTTCTCTCTTCTCAAGATCATCATGATATGACAGACACAGAGACACTCAAGTAGTGGAAGTAGTACAAGGAATACTATTAGTAGTAGGAGTAGAGGTACTTTTCATGCAGTGCAGAAACAGAAAGAGGATGTGGCAAATTCAGCTGCTTCTTCGGTGAAACCACACCACATGATTATGGCACTTCAGCTCATTTCTTTCTTCCTTTGTCTTGTACATGGGACACTCATGACTGCATGATGATAATTTCAATCAACATCGACTCAGAACAAAAGCACATCACAGGTTTGTAAAAAAAAAAAAAAACTGAACAATTAGGACACTGACAGTGCACTGACAATCAGATCCAATATGCAAGGAACAAATGCCAGCAAGATTAAGTACAATACTTATGATTCTCGTTCATGAAAGGGCAAGTGACTTATGCAAAGGAAACAACTCTTTGATGAATTCTATCACACTTTGAAATCAGAGATGGTAAATAAGAGTGTGGATGTGGAGAAAATGAGACCAGCTGAGAACGACACACCCAGGGAAAAATGCCATTCAGTCTTCTGTGATCTTTTCCTATAAAATTCCAGGAATCCATTACAACAGAGATGTGGGAAATCAACTGGTCTCTTCCCTGGAATCTCCTCCTCCCCCTCCTCTTACGTCTTCAAGTCCTGCTCTTCAAAGTACTTGTAGGTTGGGTTCTCATAGCCATTGATTTGCATATTGGCCACATGCCTCTCTTCAGGGCCAGCTGTCTGCTCCACTTCCACAAAGCCCTAGAAGTAGCAAAATCACTATCATCAAGGTGAATATATGCAATACAGGATGCCAGTAAAAGATGTGATGCACCCAGTAAGCCCATATTTTTGCGCTTCTTTTTCATGCTTCAGATTTGAGTGAATTTTCAATATGGCCTATTCTAAGCTAAATGATTCAGAGGAAGTACAGCACATTAACCATTTCAATGCCATCACAAAATTCACTGAAACATTTAATTAAAAATGGCCCTACTGGACCCTAAGTAAATTTACAAACAATTATAAATGATATTTAGAGTTAGCCTATCCTATTCTCCAAGGACAAGGAGGAAATGGAAGTTGTTCCTGAGTCCCTTCAACACCTGGCACCACTGAGACTCCCTTCTGAAGGTGAAACAAATTTTGTATTAAAAAAATACAGGACTTATTAGGTCTAAACTTGACCTGCATTTGATAAATTTTAGCTTGCAATATATTCATCTGATTGTGCCCTATTTATGACTTGATAACAAAAACTAAAATGAAGTTTAAAATTTTGACAAATGTGTACAATTTTGAAAAATATGTACACATAGCTACTATTCTTACCTTCCACAAATGTCAAATTTTGAAGAGCCTAAGACTACTAATTACTTTACTATGAATACATACAATTATATGGATATTTTCCAATGACCTTTGCTGACATATTCCTTTGTTACAATCAATTACTTGAAATCCCAAATGAAAGCAACAAGTTGTCAAATTTGCAATAAATTTGTGGTTTCAACTGTCCTGGGGGGGGGGGGGTTACAATCAATACTCAAGAACTGTGTGATAAGCCATCATACACCCTTAAATTCTTGAAAATACAATTTTTTCACTGTAATAGAATCAAACAACTTTATCTCTAAAGAATGCAGAATGGTCTATCTCTTTCTGAAAAATTAATACTTGGATAGTTGAATAAATTAAAAGTTAATGGTTAGAAATTTTCTAAATTGTAAACATCTGACTAAGCACATCAAATTTTGCACATATAGTAATAACTGGTCTAATCCACCATGAAAGACACCCCAAATCTGGATTTAAAAAAACCAGCATTTCCATTGCTGCATTTTTGGAGTTTAAATATTGTAGTTTTCTGAAATAATAAAAGAGGTAAACTTTTTCGTTACTGATAGAAAAATGGATTCAAAAAGTTAATATTGTCCAATATCAAGCTATAAGATGATATATCAACCAACTTCCTTGCTTGGACAGGACAGTTGACACCACATGTCATGAAGAAGCAATAATGAAAGGAGAGGACAGTGGATAGTAAGCACAGTCTCTATGGGGAAGGGAAGAAGTGTGTAAGATGCACAACACCCATCTGCTTTCAATGTGGATCCACAGCAACACAGTGGAAATCCTTAATTAAATTTATGCCATCAATAGTTTGGCAATGGCTTGGACTAATTGGGAAGGCAACATGTGCCATAATTAGAGGTTATTCTCATTATTGATAGCCCACCTGTCCATGAGGAGATTGTGAGTGCCTCCTTCTCAGGATGACAATGGTGAGAACTAGAACTGTCAAGAGAGCAACACCAGCCAATACCACTGTGGCCAATGCACTGTCCCTGTTTCCTCCTGCTTCTTCCACTAGAGAGAAACTCTACCATAGGAAAACACAACCTCAGTGATTAGATTTCATCACAAGAACACAGTCAAGGAAAAACAGCAGATGAACACATACAGCATGCTGATGGGACAGTTCATGTGCTTGGGCATGAGCAAAAGAAATCTCTTCATCAAGATGCTGAGAAACCTGTCCCATCTCCTTCTCTATCTTCTCTCCAACACTAGGCTGTGCAATGATCATGTGCAAGAATGAACATGTTTCATTTCCTCCCTGTCATCAATAATATAAATGTAGCTAACCTTGGAAACAACAGGAGGTGGTTTATGTAGGTCCTCATCTTCCATGCTCTCTGGGTCAAAAGGTCGCGTTAGAGTCTCCTCTTTTACAGTCTCCTTCTCTTTCTCCATCTCAAGCTGCTTCTTCTTTTTCCTCTCTTCCATTCGAACCTTCTTGTTCAATTCCTTCTCTTTCTATGCACACAAATTAACATGATACCATCATACCCTAGATAGGTAACAGTGATATACAATTTCATGCAAATCAACTGTCATCAGCTATGGTTATTAGCTTGTTGCAAGCCTGTTTACCAGACCTACTGCACACTGTACTAAACTTTTTCCTGAATGTGGTGTCATCAGGGACTATTTCAGCTGCAGTAATATGATGTTTGGGCACATTATACAAGCACTTTGCAATTAATTTGTTTTATCCCTTTCTAAAAAGTCCCAAATAATTCCTAATTTTAAGTAATTCTTTGGGAAGACAATGTATGTAAAACAAAGAAGCAAAATACAGTGCAGAAGTTAGAAATTACCACTTCTACCAAGAAAGGTACTATGTGTTTAAAAAACACTGTATTTAACTTTAATTTAACACTGTATTACTGTATTTAAAAAAAAAAGTAATAATAAAAGGCAGGTTCTGAAGGCTTGAAGCAAAATTGAAGCATTTTCAAAGTAGGGTCAATGCAGTTCTTCCTGATCCCCATTCACTGGTTGCGAATGGTGAGAAAAATATGAAGCTCAAACAATAGAAACAGCTCCGAGGACTCATGGTGGCCCTTTTATCCATGGAACTAATATGCTATCTACTACTGACTCTATGACAACACTAACACATATTGATCATATATTGATCAGCTTTTCCATATTCAGGTCTACCCAATAACCAATAAGATGATTTTTAGCACAGATGTTCTACATGTTTAACTATATGTCAGCCAAATTTGATGGAAATCCCAGTTGCTGTATTTTTGCAAAATGAGCTCAAAGTTCTGTGCATCTATTTTATGACTACGTGCTACTGTTTTAGGTAGCACCTACAAGTAAGATATCATGCAAAAGAGGAACAGACCTTTCAAAAGAGCTATAAAGAATCTCTCTACATGTACTATAGCCAAAGTTATTACAATATTAAATGATAGGTTTGAGTCACAAAGTAGGCGATTTTTCAAAACCCCTTATCTTAAGATCTAATTGACAAAAGCCAAAAATATGCCAGACATCTCACTTTCTCCTTAGTACAAAGCATTGGTTTAAATTTAATCAAAATCAGAGAGTCATGTTTTAGTGTTGATTTGACAACGAATGATCCTAATGTAAGAGCTTCATGCACGCAATATAGATACGACATCTTGCAACCCATTCAACCTACAAGGACCTGTTGCACATATGCATATCTCTTGTAGCTTTGCTACACCAAAGCAACCAAATCAGGAGATATAAAGCGGCCAGTCCCCTTTTGATTGAAGGTGAAGAAGTAAAGGAAGGAAAGAAAACTAAGGAGGAGAAAAATAGATTCAAGTAATACCATAATCAGCATTGGTCCAAACATATGAAACCATGTAATAAAGCATTTTTTAATGAAGCTAAAAAGGTTATTGGTAGCATAAACCCATATTCATATTGGGTATTGGCAGAGAAAATGCAATCATAAGTTTTGTGCAGTGTAAAGAATAAGGATAGTAGGCATGCTTGACAGTGGAAGTTGTTGCTATCTTGGCCAGTATGACTATGGGGGAGGGAGAGTTCTTTCTCCATCTTTCTAGCTTACCTCAAGGGTCACCTCTTCTTCTTCATCAAGCCTCTTTTTGTCAGTAGCCTGTTGCAGCAGCATGTCAACGAGAATTTCTTCTATTTCTCGTGTCCTACTCAGGAGTGTACTAGGGCCAAGTCCCTTCAAGTCCTTAGTCCTCAGTGCATCTGCAAATTGGTCCATCAGAGGACGGAGACGTGCTTTCAGCTCTGGGAACCTTAAACAAGACAAAAAAAAGAGGGATGACATAACAACATGAACATCTGAACAAAAGGAGAAGAGTTAGAAGTCAGGACTAACGGGTCAAGCATCTCCAAGCTCTGGTTGACCGCCTTGTCAATCTCAACAAGTCGTTCTATGGTCACAGACTTCTCTTTCTCTGCCTGCCCAAGGTCTGTCTTCAGGAGATGTTGGAAGTGGGTGATAGTATGATGGTGATCCTTATGAAGGGCTCTAAGAAGCTTCTGCAAAGCTTTTTCTACCTTCAGTGCCTATGTCAAAGACATCAGAAACCCATGCCTTACTCATATGAAAGTAAAGCATACTGTGAGAGATGAAAACAGAACACATACATCAGGTCGTGGAGCACTTAGTGTCTTCTTGTATGCTTCCATGGCATTCTTCTTTCTCTTGTTAATGGCAACAAGGACACGGGACTGATGCATGGCAACCAACTGATGCTTCTCTGCTGCCCCCTCTCCCTCCAGGGCTGCCACTGTCTTCTGAAATCTTTGGTTTGGGAAAATATGTAATCAGGAAATCAACATCATGACAGTCTCTTCATGACTATGACAATCAAAATCAAGGACAGATTGAAACAGGCAGACCTCTCAGTAATTTCCTTTCTAAATAGCTCTGCCCTCTTAGGATCTTTGACTTTCATGTCTTGGTATTTTTCCTCCAACTGACTCCAATCCTTCATCAGCTGTCAGAGAGAAGTGAGCAGAATAGAAGCCATGAACACTTTCCAACTGCATTAGCTAGTAGAAGGCCTGAACACCTCCCAACTTCACCACTTCTTTTGTACAGTCTATTTTTTCAGACCAGGAGAGAGTAACTAGCATATCAACCTTTCAGTAATCCCAGGAATCTTGAGTACTGGAAGGAAGGAGGATTGACAAATGAATACAATGTTTGAAGTGCATTTTGATGCTGCCCAGGCCAACTCCAGCCCACAAAGAATTAATTGAAGGGAAATTTGGCTTTTTCCCCCTAAACCCTTTTTTTTTTTAAAAAGCCCTATAAACACCATCCACAAGCATGAATACTAGGTATTCTTCATTGGTAAGTTATGTATAATATGAGAAAGCACCTGCAGAAATGTCACAGACCATGTCAGCAATGTTACAACCACTCATCACCATTGACGCATATAAGAATCACCTGGGGCATACTTAAGAGTCAGTCTTGCAAAAATCAATTTGAATTTAACCCTATTAGTGCTTTGTGGCCAATTTTTTGACTACAGCTTTTAATTAGGTTTCTTCCTTCACATAGTTGGGGTTCTTTGTGTTACATGACATAAAAATAGACCTACAGTATTTTTTGAAGTAGTAGTACAAATGAAGTATCAGGTCATCCCATAAGTAATGTGGTTTTTTCGCATTGCCAAACTTGTGTAGACGTTAGTCTTCAGTTTACGTGTAGGTTTTAACGAGTTAACAGCGCTCCGTTTTTCTTAGACGTTAAAAACAAGATGGAGGTGTCAGAGGAACACATTCGGCATATAATGCTTTATGAATTTAAGAAAGGGAATAACGCAACTGCAGCCACGAAAAACATTCAATGTGTTTTTGGTGAGGAAGCTCTAAATGCGAGGAAATGCCAACGGTGGTTCCAGAAGTTCAGGTCTGGCGACTACAGCTTAGCAGATGAAGCGCGTTCAGGTCGACCTGTTGAGTTTGATGATGACCTGCTGATAGCCACACTTGAAGATTATCCTGCTAATCAGTCGATTCAAAAACGGCAAAACTTGAAGTTCACGAGAATGCTGTGAAGCGCAAATGTTTTCCTGATCTCTAAGATTGTCTGGTGATAACACATGTGGAACCCACTTTCCAAGTTCTGACACTTTTCCCAGCCGTTGTTTCCCGTCGTTTCCTAGCAGCAATGAACGGAGAAATGGGTCGAATTGAGTTTCTGGGCAAGTTCTTCAACTGTTACAGCAGGATCTTCTTCAAGTGTGGCTACCAGCAGGTCATCATCAAACTCAACAGGTTGGCCTGAAAGCGCTTCATCAGCTAAGCTGTAGTCGTCAGACCTGAATTTCTGGAACCACCGTTGGCATTTCCTCGCATTTAGAGCTTCCTCGCCAAAAACATCTTTAATGTTTTTCGTGGCTGCAGTTGCGTTATTCCCTTTCTTAAATTCATAAAGCATTATATGCCGAATGTGTTCCTCTGACACCTCCATCTTGTTTTTAACATCTAAGAAAAACGGAGCGATGTTAACTCATTAAAACCTACATGTAGACTGAAGACTAATGTCTACACAAGTTAGCATAGAAATATTCCATGAGATGTGCACAGATACACGTATAAACAAGAAACAAGTTTGGCAATGCGAAAAAACCGCATTACTTATGGGATGACCTGATACAAGGCTGAAAAATTGACCACGTAGCACTAAATAGATTAACAGTGCAAACTGCAGCTGAGAAAAATGGATTGATCTTCCACAATCATAAAATTGCCTAGGTTTTAGCTCATATACAACATAGGAACTTATATTCCACTCCTGGAGCTGAAAGTCACAGCACAATCAAGATCTTGAAGTGAAGTGCAAGAACTCACAGCTGTAATCCTTTCCCTATGCCTCTTTTCTGCTCTCTTCTCAGCAGCCCGAAAGGCTTCATGTTCATTTTCTGGATCATAATGTGTAAGGTAAGGGTCAGGGGTGACCTGGGAAGAATCCTTCTCTTTTCCAGACAGCCACTCTGAAATCTCTTTCTCATCAGGCAACACCACAGCAGTCTTTCCAATCACTGTCAGGATGAGAAATTCATTAAGTCCATCAAGATTTTTCATGATGAGAAAGACAACTGAGACAATAATAACAAGGGCACAGATTTTGTACAAATGTAAATGTGTAGACAAGCAATCCTCTATGTAGAGTTTCACCTGTAACAAAATTTGATTTCATCCAGTGGTATTGTCAATTTTACTGATACTCTTGGGGTCCAAGATTTTTTGGACCACTCATGTGTGGACAGAAGTTCAATTTTAGGCTGTTTCCAGATTTGCATTTTGGATGTCTCGATGTTGAAGCATGCAATTATGATGGAGGTTTTCATAAATGGCCAGAGTCCAAGGAGCATCTTTTGCCAACTTCAGTCCAGTGGATACAAGAGGGACTTCGTTTGTCGTACTATCATGAGACTGGGAGAGTCAATGACAGTCAACCATGTTCTGTTTTCATACTAAAGCTTGTCAGGAATGTAAAGGCACATATCAGTTTGGAATGATCTCCCCATGGAAGAGGTGTGTCCTGCAATCCATGGGTTGTAAGAAAGATTTGGCCTGTGTGAAGGCCAAAGGCAGTGTTTTTGACATGATTAAATTCTTATGAGTTTAAATTGTAATAATGCATTTTTTCAAAGTCTTACGTCTCTGTGTTTTGAAATATGAATTAAAAATCCTTAAGCATTTGTATGAGATATGGTTTACCCTGTACATGAATATTTCACTTCTAACCACAACATAAAAATCCATTCCCTAATAGTGAGCAACAGTAATACTGAGTTCTGCTTACCTCCTTCTTCTTTTCCCTTGGTCTTCTGTGGACAGCAAACAAATTCCACACCTTGGAAGAGGTCTATGCCACAGGGAAGCAAGGGGGCAAAAGATCGAAGCTCCATAGAGCGTGAGAAACAAGCCTCTCTTGCAGTCCCATTCCACTTTTCAAAGCTCATGCATTGACTTGTGTTGTGGATGTGATCAAATTGACATCCATGTGGAACTAGAAGTGCATCAGACTGGAATGGGCCCACTGCAACAAGTCAGCACACATCCATGAAAGTCATTACTATGATTAGTTTTGTGGTATTATATGATTCATAATGAAAAAGAAAGGAAGCATGCTTTCTTACCCAGACATCGGTATGGTTTGACCCAATGAGACCACTTGCACTTCTTAGGTTTAGTTGCCTTGCACCAGTCATCAAGGCGGAAAAAGTGCGTTGACTCCACAATATTTGTTACCTCTTTTCCTGGATATACCTGAAGGATGGTAATTGGAAATACATGCATCCTTCACTTCAGTGACAACATCCGCCTAAGACTACCCTGCCTACGAAATATAACTGTAAATACTTAAATGTATAGAGCTCAGGCCTTAAATTAGTATCTCAAACTCCTTTTGAAATCCCTGTCATCCCATCAATCCCATCCCGATCTCGTGGCCCTCAAGCCGAGCTGCAAGGCTCACGCAATTTGAATATGAATATCAAGGTCGAGGTCAAAGATGGAAGGAAGCAAACCCGGACAAGAATAATTACATCTTGGCCAAGTCATTTCCCTTGAGAGTCTAGGGGGAATCAGGATAATGTATTTAGAGGCGAGGCGAGCCATAAAGACGAGATGAAACAGTGCGTAATGAGATTCTGTCTCTCAGTGGTAGGATTGTGTGTGCGCGTGCGTGCGTGCGTGTGCGTGTAGGCTGAGGTGTGTGCATGAGAGCGCACATATGCATCCTGCTTTGTGCCAAGGGTTGGGGAAAAAACGTTAAAAATCGAAGGTCTTTGACCGATTGCCATCAATGGAAAGCCCGACTTGCCGAGTTAAGATGTAAGATTTTGCAAATTACTAGTGTGGATAAAAATACGGTTTCGGGCCCAAGCCCGAGCGTCAAGAATGAGGGGAGCGAGTAAATAACGGATGATTTCGCCTCATGTCATTTGGCGAATATTTCCATGGAATAATGCAGCAATAGCATTTACGCATTCAATATCGGGTGCATTTTGAAGAACATCTGGAAGCCTTACAATCATATATTGAAATTGAACTTCTAATAAATCGCATGTTAGACCTATGGTGTAAGGAGACAGGAGACATTCAATCGAAAGGGCAATGGTTCAACCGTACGAAGACGTTGATTTCGCATCTTTAAAGCGATGGATTTGGAAGTTACGGTCATTTCTTTATAACCCAGAAAATGGCCATCTAGCGCAACTTCGGAAACGAACTTCAGCGAAACTGCTAGTCAGACATTAGGGTGAGACACTTTCCGCTCTTCTCAAGCTCCCCAAAAATAATTATGTCTCAGAATGCAAATTCCCAATCCTAGTTCCTGCTTACATTAAGCATGTGCGAGGGGCCACGGGGGGCGGGTTTAGAAGGCCTTAAGTGGAAGAGTAGTTAGTACCTTTTAGACCACCCTCATCTCTATCGGATTGACTCAAAGTCAATATGGTGCGTTTCAGAAGTCATCCGTCAAGGTTTAATTTCATTTAACTCAGGAGCTACCAGCTAGATTTTGTAAGAAGTCCTACCCACTGAGTCCATTGGACCCGGTATCGAATTTATACAAAACATGAACGCAAAAAAATCAAGAATACGGTAAAATAAGCAAATTTATATTTTATTTGTTGCTGTTGGTAGTGACAAACATTTTAAAAAATTACCGCGAAGCCCGGACAACTGGTTACATTTTGTATTAGGTAGAACTGCAGATGGTAGTTCCAGGGTTGAACAAATGCTTTATACCGGGAGGCCCAAAAGAAACGTTCCGAAATTAACACGCTTGCAGACGGTGTACCATGAGTTATCGACAGGAAATTTACAGGCTTTTACATGCAATGGTCGCAGGTAATGTAACAAAAATTTCATTGAAATTGGTTGTTAACTACGTGAGCAGTTTTCCCATTTTCCTCCCGCGCGATGTCAAAAGAGCGAGTGTGCAAAGGAACGCGCCTGAACTCAATGAAAGAACTGCTTGATGGGTCCTCCGACAACCGCCCGCCGAAGCAGCACGCCAGCAAACGCACTGACGCACTTGCTCATTTGACGACTTGTACGGAAAGAGCTCTTACTCATGTTCAGAGCAAGGAATTTTATTGAAATTTTCCTAGTCACTTACCTATGGGTATGACACACTGAAAATTTCAAGACGATGCTTAGCATGGTTTCCCGTCTGCAGCCGCACAAAGTTCGGAACTTTTTTGGGGGCCACCCGGTATGATCACCACTCAAATCAAGAATGTGTTCACACGATCGCTTCAAGGCGGCGCGCAAACAAGGTATAAAAGGGAAGGGGTTGACCCTCAATCTCTAACTCCTGGATTTCTTCCAACCGGACTACAGCAAATTCATGGTGTATGGGCTAGAATGAGTTGAGTAAGCGCCTCTGTCGCTTCTTCATAGCACCTCACTAGAGGTGCTATGAAGAAGCAAACTCGGAACTCTGAAAGAATGTCATGCGGTCGGGTCTACCCAAACAGGTAGAATAGTTCCTCCAGTTCATAGGGGTTTTTTTAAGAGAGAGGAAGGGCATGATGCAATGACTGAGGTGGGGGTCTCTATCTTTTCTCCTCTCGCCTAGTTGAGCATTGGAACAAGTGAAAGATAAACCTCTTAGATAAACTCATTCCTATTCCCATTTACCTATGGCCATGACGTGTATGCAGAAGGAAAGCAAAAAACCTGCTCTTCAGACGTGGTCCTTGTCTTTTTCCTCAGCTGCAATTCGACTTTTGTCCTTCCCAAACATTCCCCTACTTAACGTCCGTGAAAAAAAAAACCCTCCCCCCTTTCCTCCCTAGGTAGCTGAAGAAGCGTGCAGAGAACTGGCAAAGAAGCATGCAGAAGGATCGGGGGGGAGTAAGAAAGGGGGATGAATCTAGGATGAAGAATTGATCAAGCCTCTCCCCTCCCTCTCGTGCCCGTATCCCCCCTTACTCGTACCTCATTCTTCATTCCCATAGGATTTTAAACCCTTTTCCAAAGCCAAGCTGAGCTTGACAGATATGCCCCATGAATCCAACCTCACAAATTAAGCTTTTTCGATCCAGAGAGTTCGATTAATGAAACGACTAACGCAGAATCTAGAGAAATAACGGACGGAAATTTTGGAAAACAAACCTAACCACCAATGTTAGCAACGACAAAAGAATGGGGGGGGGGGGGGGGGGGGAAGAAGGACGAAANNGGGGGGGGGGGGGGGGGGGGGGGGGGGGGGGAAACGCGGGACACAAGTGGGACAAATAGTGAATTGGTACCATCACAGATCATAGGTAAAAGATGACGGATAAAGAAAGTAGGAGGGGGGAGAGGATGTCTGTGTATAGTGTGCTTGGGAATGGCTGGTGGTTATGGCGAGGGTCTACTCTACTCTAAGTACACGGAGACCGTTGAATTGATTCCACCCTGAATGACTACCCAAAACTTGGGAGGGATTGGGCTTATGTTTATACATGTCATGGACCCCTTTTTATTGCATCACCTTGTGTTACCCAACAAACTTGGATAATCCTGCATACCAGCAGTATGTTCGAGGGAAACTTCTAGCAGGGAGGTACATCAATGCCGAGGGGAGGTAACATGCTTCAGTATGAACACCCAACTACCTCCCTTCACAGCTATGCTTAACCCTCTTTATCCCAATGTGGCTTCAAAGTAACAATTGTTTCTTTGGAATCACCCATATTATCACGAGAATGTGTGGGTAAATTTTACAGCCAATTGTAACCTCAGGGCAACATGCTGCTTTGAAAGTGTGCCCATGCTTAGAAAAAACAATAACTTAATGAGAAATGTGTTTCCCCGGTCATAGGAAAAGGTTTGCAAAAATATTTTTTCCCTTCTAGAAATTCAATTGGTCTTGAGAGGGTCAAATTCTCAGGGACAACAAATGGGAAGCAAGGATCTCTTTCATGACCATCACGATCACCTAATTTGACCCCATTTCATTTTTTTCCCCTCAGAGGACAAGCACTAGAAAGACCCACATGCCATCTTCCAGTCGAAAGCTGCCACTTGACTTGAGGGTCAGGTGATCTCACTCATTATATAGCAAAGAGCCACAGAAGCTTCCATGGCTCTTTGAAACCAAGCTCTTTTTAGGCATATAAAAAACTACCATGTATTGAAAACAACTGCTAAGGACCAGGAGACACATTAGAGATAACTTATAGAGTAAGCAGTAGTGTAGTAACTAGCTGATGTTTATGAAGTAGAAAATGTGTATACTATTGGTTTTTTTTTTTAAATATAGCTTATACATGAAAATTAGAGTGCTTTGAGGTAGGAATCCTTGGGGAAAACTCAGTAACAAGGCTATAGCAGTATCAAAAAGAAAAGAATCCTGCATGCCATGAAAGCAAAATGAATGAATTTCCTGTTTTCCCTTTTGGCAACATTGTGTTAGGAGTTTACAGCTGAGAACCCTCAGCATTTGAATTATCAAATTATAATTTTTAAAGCACAGTGAAAAGTACCTTTTTCTTCTAAGGAGTAAGAGTTCTACAGCCTTTACCTGACTTAAAGTGAACCCTTTTTGCAAAAGAGAAACAACAAACTGGACAAAAAAGTGATGGCTTATTAAGGGGTTTCAGAGGATATTTTTCCTAAATTAATGTTATAAAGAACTGCATGCATTCAATCTTCACTGTAGAGGATGAGGATTTCTTATGACAAATATTTTCCTTCCTCACAGACAGAGTTGCAGCAACCCAAGGAGCAAATATCACAAAACTCTAAATCATAGATTAGCCACATGTCAAAGGTCCATTCATAAGTTTTATTTTGTATTTGAATAAAATTAATTGGCAGATTATGAAAATGGAAAGAAAAAAGGGAGATTCGCACTTACTTTCCGGCAGTACTCAAGAATGGAGATCTTGTCAGTGAGACAAGTAGTGCGACTGGGATCAGATGTCCATTTCCCTGTTTCCAAATCCAGATACTGGTTGATGAACGAGGAAGAATCACAAACCATGGCCACCTGAGGTTCATTGTGAGGTGCATCTTCATTTTCCCCATTCTCTGGAGATACTGTTGATCCCACATTTACATTTGCCCCAAGAGCCTGAACCAAAATGCAACAAAATTAGTCTCTACTCTACAAGGAACAGCTCTAGACACAATAAATGAGCAAAATAATTTTCACAGTCATTAGCAGTTTCCCTCTTGCATGGGCCTTGTACTTTCAGTTACAACCTCAAACCCCTTCATAATTTATAAGCTGTGGCATTACTGAAACTACCCTCTTCTAAGTAGCTAAATATATGAAAAAAGTCAATGACTCAAACTTGAAGTGAAAAATAGATACAAAAAGTAAAGAGAAATGGACCCCACCACCATAAAATATATAATGGAGTACAAGGCATTTAAATAAGTCTGCAACTTTTAATATGACTTACAAATAAAAGACTTGAAAGAAATGTCTTTAAGTGTGAAATGAAAGTCCAGTTCTTTGGAGCATTTTTCCAGTTTCATAGGCAGCATGATTTACAGGTAGATTCAATGAACCATTAAATGAATACTGTCAACATTTCACAACATTATCCCTGCATTTTTGGATTCTGGTGGTCACCAGCACAACAGCATCCAAGATCATTGCAATTGGAATTGCAAGGACTCTTCTGTTATTCAATAAGTCTGAGCTTGTGATTTTTTATCACATGACTGAGAGACCCAAAAAAAATCTGCACTGATAAAAAAACAAACTGGTAAGATTGCACACTGCAAATCATTACTTAGCAGCATGCAATCCATGACAGTCCAAACATTTTCACCTTTTCACCAGTTTGCCATTTTTTTTACCAGCCTGAAACTTTTCCAGGTCTCAAAATCATATGGGTAAAGCAAGCACCTCGTCTTTCAGACAGCCACAATAGGAAAAAATCATTGGAGAATCATAGCAGGGCTATAAAGCTGCCATGCAATAGGCACTCTCTAGGTCTTGCAATGCTGGGTGCCTATGGAATAATTTGAAGCTTTCTGAGGCTTAAGCTGTCAAGGGTTATCTCACAAGTAACCCTTTCAATAGTATCTAAGAAAGGCCATATCCTTAATTTATTCATACACTCAGTCCATTAAATTTCATTAAAATGTGATAATGGAAATTAACACCAGGAACCCAAAATCCCATTGAGCGAAGAAGAGAGAGAAAAATGAGGGTTCACACCTGAAGAGAATTTTTTTTTATTTATGGGAACAGGCTTTGTTCTTTTATAAATCTTTTGCAAATAGATTCACACTGTACTTTAAACTGCAAATAGGAAACCTTTGTAAAAGTCATTCAAAATTGGAAAATAAACCACCTCTGACAAGCAATATTTGTGATAAATTGACTTTTCCTTCAAATGCTGCTCTCACCATTACGTTTCATGAAAAAGATGTGAATGATGTCCAACAGACTCAATTTAATGCTTTGAGGAGCACAAACATTAATTTATAACCAGAAGTGCATGGATAAAAAATTAAGTGAATACCAATAAATGTATTAGTACTTTATGTTCCATAACACACACAAAAAGTAAACAGAGTCCCAATTTTATTTATGTAAAAATCAATTGGCTCTGAAATGCATGATCTTATTTTCTTCTTAACCACTAGATGATAAGTACTCAATAAATTAACTCCAAATAGGTTAAGGTTATCACCACAGTAACCAAATATTCAGGACTAAGTCATGGGCATGTCTAAAACAGGGGAAAGTACTTTCCCTGTTACAGTAACAAGAAAGATCATACCCATGACTTGAGAAAGTGTGTCTGTAAAAATGCAAACATTTTAATGGCCTAAGAAGACATACCTACATGTTTCTTTTTCAGCTTATACCACACCAAATCTTAATACTTTCAAGAGCCAGGTGCTTCCTAAATTCCATGTTGATTACCAACATGGTACTGGAGCATAAGCAATAGGCAGAGTGTAACATAAATAGGACCCAAAATGTGGAAACAACAGTAAATATTGGGATTCACAAAATCACAAGTGTTCTGGGTATTATCCACCAGTAGGCAGGCCAATGAACATGACTACAGCAACCAATCCATGCTTGCAAGAACATTGCATTCAGACAGTCAGTCATGGACAATCATAGCAATCTGGATGCCTACAAGCATGGATTGGTCTCTCTGGCCCTGTCAAGTGGCCTGTCCACTTCTTGGACCCTGCACCCATGGATTTCAGTGTGCTGGAGAAAATGTAGTTCATCATAAGACACCATTCAAAGTCTGTGATGTTATGAATGAAACAATGAAAATGAAACCACTCGAAACCTCAATGAAACCGCTAAGAAGAACAGGATTATCAGATGCAAAAATCTGAAACGCTGGCTCGTAGGCAAAAAACACAGACTCGTCCTGTTTTCTGATGAGAAGTTGTTCACCATCGAGCACGCTTTAAATCGCCAAAATGATCGGAATTGGTCTGCTGGCATGATGGTTTGGGCCGGGATCACTGCCGATGGGCGAACACCATTGATTTTCATTGATCAGGGGGTGAAAATCAATGCTGAGGTCTACAAGCGCGACGTGCTCCAGGCTGTCGTAAAGCCTTGGGCTGAGAGACACTTCCATGGCAGAGAATGGATCTCTCAACAAGATTCTGTGCCGTCCCACAAAGCTTGTCATGTTCAGAAATGGTGCAGCGACCAATTTCCCGACCTTATCACTGTTGACGAATGGCTGTCATACTCCCCAGACCTCAACCCTCTGGACTACGCCGTCTGGGGCATTCTGGAGACCAAGGTGTGCTGCAGGTCCTATGACAACGTCGCATCTCTGAAGTGTGTCCTCAAGAAGAAATGGGAGAAGATCCCACAGGATGTGCTGCACACTGCAGTGGATGCATTCCCTGGGAGATTGAGTGCCTGTGTCTGATTTAAAGGGGGCCATATTGAGTGAAAAGTAGAACATGGAAGTCTAAAGACGTTGTTTGTCACGTCTGTTCAATTTGTGCAAAACTTGCTTGTGCTTGAGGAAAATTAAAAAACCTGAAGTCAACTAACTTTTTAACCACCCTGTATACAGACTCTTAGCCAATAGAGACATGGCAGACAACAAGATTACACTTGACAAACTCTAGTATACCCATGCAACCCTTTACCAAATTCTAAAATGAATCACCAACCACATTTTGATCAGGAATGCCTAGTTGCTCGGGAAGTGGTTCTGAAAACCCAATTCTAGCAAAAATCAATACTGGGGTCCACACAGAATACTCCCACCAGCAGAGAGAGCATAAGCAACTTCTCTCTCACAAGAAATTCATCTATCAAAACCATCAAGGAAAGAATATTCATAAGTGGAAACAAAATCTTGGAGATTCCTTATGAGCCATGATAGAACATTCAAGTCCTGCCCCATCACATTAGAATCTCAGGTGGAACATTTCTTTTGCCTCTTAAACCCAACTGGACCAAGGAAATCTTCCAGATTTCCTTGACCCAGAGCAACTTCATATAGTAGGAAACCATCTTCTACTGAATTCATTCCACCATTCAGTGAGGAGGAAGTTACCAATGTCATATAGACAAGAAGGCCATAGGTATTGATGGCATCTGCTATGAACACCTCAAAGGGTCCATCAACAGGACAAGCCACTTCTGGACTAAACCATTAAACATATATGTCTTGAAAAAGGCAAAATAGCCAGCCAATGAAAACAGTCAACCAGGTGATGCCTGGCTCTACAGATTCTGCAAAAACTCAGCTGCAAGCATTATCATCACAGGTCATGCATGGGCATCATCCACCCATCTGCTGACCTTTTTTGGCTAAGCAAGGGTTCAAGAACCCTTTTAGGCATGTGAGCCATATTAAAATTGAGCTAAGTGCTCGTGAGCCAAATATTTTCAAAACAATAGAATTTTTCCTGAAGTTGGCAACAGAAAAATGAGGAACACCCATGATTTCTAGCCAAGACTCATGAGCCAAACTTTTTGGCTTGTGAACCAAATTTAGCTCATGAGCCATAGTTTCCCAACCCCCGAGCTAAGCAATTATGACACATATATCAGTATTTAACAAATGACTAAGTAAGCCTTTCTATTGCCCACACTGTTTTAAACCTTTGTCCTGCATGCCCAAACTTTACAGGCTCCCATATAACGGACATTGTTAAACTTGACAGTCAAAGGGTTAGTAATTTGTCATTTATGCCTTATAATGCATAATGCCATAAATATACCTTAAAAAAAACCTGATTGCTAGGGAAAAAAGAAAGAAAAAACATTCAGCTGAACAGGCCTCAAGCTGCCAGGCTTTCCTTTTTGTTACTACAATCTCATATTCTCCATGACCTTCATTCCCCTTCTTACAAGGACACATTCAATCAGAGGAGGGACATGTGTGACTGCCTTGAATGGGGCTTAGAGTTACAGGCAATTTCTTCTTTCCCTGCCAAGGACACCCCACTTTAGGTTTTTTCTTGGAATGGTATTTATCCCAATAATCCATTTAGTTATGCACCTTTTCCATGCTTTAGATTTTACTGATTTTACAAAAAAGACTTGCTCTAGGTTGAAGCACGCAGGAGTCATATTGACAACATATGAACCGTCACTTTTTGAGCAATTCATGATGACCAAATGAAATCCAAAAACGTTATATCAAATGAAACTACTTCTCTAAATCATTCGGCTAAGGACAAGCTGTAAATAGTCAAGCCAAACAATGCAAAAAATAGTTCAATCTGAAACATGGAAAATAAGCACACCTGAATGTGGCACAATAGGTTTTTAACTTGACTCAGATACTCATTCATGAGAAACTTCCTATACACGAGTGTCCAACTCATGTAGAACACTGTAGAACAGACTAACAAGAACCAAAAGTTGTCACATCTCCACCGGTCATGGTGAGGTACATCAATTTATGGCACCACATTGTAAGGTGACCATATATCCTAGTTTTACTGAGACAATCCCTGTTTTCAAAGCTCTATTGCAGTCCAACAATGGTTGTGGTAACTTTTCTTTCTTTTCTGGACATTTCTTTTCAGTGTCCTGTCTCCTTATGCTTAGCAGCCCAATAGCAATCATTCACTAGAAACTTAGGAATATGTTCTGCTGTCACACAGGAAAAAATCTGGTAATTTACTTGACACCTACTAGTTTATCTTTCTAAAGATCACGTGGGTTGATCTGCCTCTAGAATTTTACCCTAAAAATGGCATGAATTAAGCTTGAAAATTAAGCTGACCCGAAATTTTGTCTAATCAACCACTCACCTCAATATACGCAAGTGAAAATCTCAAGGAGGAAACGAGGATCAAAATGGAAGAAAAATGTAGAGCCATGGTGACAGAGGTCAAAGTCCGGTTTGGTCCTGGCCTGTCCTGTCCTGTCAAGGACAACAAGGCCTATCTAACTCTGAGACTGAATCACGCGTTTCTCGCCAGTCAATAGGTTACTGATTAAATTGGTGACACGAATGGAAGCTGGGACTGGGCGTCGCTAGTGGCGAAGTCGTCAATCGGCCATCTTGTGTGTCCACGGGTGATGCGGCTGCGCCTAAGGCTAAGTAGCAGCAATGCGACTGCGACACCGCATTGATTTTTACGATTACCACTGCGTCCCAGCCGCGTGACGTCTTAGGAAACTCCACT